GAATACAATTTATTTTCTAATTACACATGATACATTACGAATATTTTCCTGCTACATTATTCTTAGTTAACATCAAAGAACCACTTTCCTCAATAAATATTTGAAAGGCTATAAAATTTATTTTCTTTTCTTCACCATTGTAAATTTCCAATTTCTAATCGTTGTGTATATCGAATTTATTTATTAAATTACAATTAAAAATAATAATTAACAGTGCCAATTCATCCCAAGTTCAGTCATTAAAGATAGTTTTTGTATACACTCTAATTGTTGTTATTAAATATATTATTTTAAGCATATTGATTTGTCCTTTTTAAACAGTAAAAACCCCTACAAGCTATAAATATTCACGATGACTTTAAAAACGACCTTAAAATGAGATTTGTTTTATTGCATTTAGAAGAGCATAAAAATGAAAATTCACATTGTCAATAGATGTATCTTAAAAAAATCAACTGTACTTGGTTTTTTATTTAAATTAGATGGAAGTTTCCGTCAATATTTCCTAGGGTTTCTCAAAACATCAACTTATGAGTTGTTTTGTCGTGTCAGGGCCATGTGTAGTTAGGCTGGTCCCTAGTCTAGGTCTTTGGTATGGGTCCACCTGGTCCTACGATCTATTGTTGAATCATTCGTCTCCATATCCATCTGCAATGTCGTCTCCATATCCATCTGCAATGACAAATTGTAATGGGAATATATTACTACTTTGTAAATCCTAAATTAATCGTTTTCTGTACAAAGACGACATATAATAATAATATTCAAAATAATATAATTACAGTATATTATTATATTATATACAGCTGAAGCAAATTTATTTAGATTCAAATTTGTTTCAAAATATGCGAACAGTGACAGTGGTGGTGGCGGCGGCATCATAAAATACATAAGAAATTTTACAGTCGAAAGGACTGTAAAATGAAAAGGAAGTCAACTCAAACAAGGCTCAAAATCAACTTCAAGATAAGGGTTTAGATATTAGGATCTTGCACTAATCTTTTACTGCATTTATATATAAACTATACAATTAATGGTTTACAATATAATCTTTAATTATTTACAGTATAGATATATACTACATAACAATTAATGCTTTAAAATATAATCTTTAATTATTTACAGTACAGATATATACTATAACAATTAATGCTTTAAAATATAATCTTTATTATTTTGCTTACGGGTGTAGTATGCTGCCCTGTCATGAAAAAACCACTCAACTGACAATTTTAAAGCGATAAAAAACATGAACATACCTTGCTCTTCTGAATAAGAGTATCGCATTTTGATTACCCTACTGTCATCTGTAAGCATACTTAAGTTTTGTAGTATGTCTCCGGCATCCTCGCAGAATGTGATGATTATATCTGCTAACATCATGTCTTTGTTAAAGTTCTAGAATTAACAGAGAAATAATAGTGAGAGAGGTTAACATTTGGTTTAGCCATGATATAACTATTATTAAATTAATTTGTCAACACTGTATTTGTATTGTTGTATATTACCATTTTATTGAAAATGTATAGATAATAATAATTATTGTTATTATAATAATAATAACAATAATAATAATAATAATAATAGGTAGCTAGTAGTAGCTAGGCCCCTAGCATAGCGCAAGGCCCTAATTGTTAGGCACCACACGATGCGTGACGTCACGCACTTCAATTAGTGTCATTAGCCAAGTTCAGCCAAGCGTGTTTTTGTCAACAAAAGGCCTTAAGAAAATATTCATATAAAATGCTTTTTGATTGGTTGAGACGTTTCCATCAGGTCAATCACGTCACTCAGGGGTCGAAGTAGTACACCATTTTGATTTTTTCCGAAATCGGCCAACTTTTAGCAAAGTTATCAACTTTTGAAAATTTCATTAAAATTCATCGTTTTTTTCCAGAGAATTGCGAGTAATGAAGTTCAATTTTTTAATAACGAAGATTAGTTTATATATCTAAGAGTTTATTTGCCAAATATGAATGTAATACGAGGCATAGCAATATTTTTTTTTGGCACCGCAAAACCGACGATCAGATGTTGATCGGCCATCGTGTACACGAGGTAGACCATAACGATCTTAGCGAAAGTGCTGCATATAAACGGCAATATTTTTCATGTAAATAAAATAAATATGAGTTCAAAAAGTTAACTAAATGATATTTAAAGTATTCAAATATACTTTTAGCTAATGATTATCTAAAAAAATAGTTAAATATTTAAGGATTGAAGTGGATATTAAACATAGGATGATTTCGATAGAATTGTGAGATGATGCTAGTTTTTGTTGCATGAGGATGACGTCATGCGTAACAGCCAATGAAATTTGTCATTCGTCACAAGTTGGGGGAGGGGGTGAGGGATAGTTTTAATTCTATTTTCAGAATTGTGGGTCAAAGGTCATCTGAAGAAGTTATTTTATAAATTGACCAATGTAATTTGCAGTAAAAATTTACAATCAAAATGTACACTATTTTTTAGCATTTACAAAAATTAACAGAAATATATGGCAAAAAGTGACAGAAATATTATTGTTTACATGCAACTTGCTATTCACGCGCTCATAAACTTCAAATGTTTATAAAACCGTAACCAGTGGCTCAATTTTCCTCAAATAAAGTTTTTTATGATACTAAGAATAAGTAGTTTTTTGTGCTATTTTTTTTTTTTTTAATATGCAACTTTGTATTTATCATGTGGTACCTATAATTGTACTAAAAACCAGCTACTAATAGGCTAGGCCTGTCTAGGCTAACTACAGTACAGACATGACAGTAGGCCTAGGCCTAAAGTTAGCTACGCCTGGCCTAGCTAGGGCCTAGGCCTATGTTATAATATAGGAGTAGTACAATGTAAGATAAAAGATAGGGTAGGCCTAGGCCCATTCTACCCTGGTTTTTTTATTATTTTGTTTACATTAGTATGGTTGTATCGTATTCTTACCTTACCTTTTCTACGAACACTGCATCATCAGGGCACCGTCCTAGCTAGCCTAGCCTAGGCTAGGCCTAACTAGCAGCTAGCACTGGCCCAGCCAAACCAGGCTACGGCTTCGTCGGCTAGAGGCTGTATGAAACATTCAATCAATCAAGTTGTGTTGAATATTAAGTCTTGCATCAATGAATTATCATTGCTTTGTAGTTATCAGTGAGCACACCAGCTATTATTGTTGTATTTTGTACCTTAAAATCACAGATATTTGTCAAACATTGGTAGACTCCAGTACCTGGTACACACAATGTATTTAAATGTGGATCGTAGGTTTCCATTGGTCAGTTTCGTAAGGTTAAATGAGTGGCCAATGACGGCAGGGCATATAATGATGTCATTCACTCCGCCGGGTATGGGGAGTGGGAGGGACCTGAAATGAAATGACATATCACTACCACATGGAGGATGATACCAATGACAATAGAAATAATTAGATATATG